AAGGTGCTATTATTATTCCCATTTTACAGCTGAAAAAGCTGAGGCCAGCAAAGGTCAAGTGACTGCCTCAGGATCACATATTTGAGGTTCTTATCCTCCAAATACTGTACCACCCAGGTCGACTCTGCCCCAAGTCTTACTCCAATGCTAAGTGACTCCCTAAGTCAAGAAAATCTGGGTTCAAATAACTCACTTCTCCCCGACACCCCTAGTCAACCCTCTAAGACACCAAGTTACAAAAGTGCTATCTTTGGAAGCATCTGTCGTACTGGGAGGTCCTACATCAAGGGAATCACAAGTCCAAGCCAAAAAGAAAAAAACAACAACATCTCACATTACAGGATCACGTCTAAGCAGGCAAGACAAAGCAAATAACTGGGAAAGCAGGTACTTTCTAACAGCACATGCAGCCCAATAATTGTAGCAAAAATAAAAATAGACTTAAGCTCAATGGGAGAGAGGCTGAATTAATCATTGCTTTCCCTTTATAGATAGATGGAGATGTTTCACATGTGACTCCTATTGGTCAAAAGCTATTACAAGATTTACAGACCTGAGATGGTTTTTTTAAAAGAAAACTTTGCCTTGGAGTCATGAGGCCTGGCTTCTAGACCCAACTTGGTTCCACACTAGCCAGGTGCCCCTGGGCTGGTCATTCTCGCCTCTCCATATCTCACCTTCCAGGTACACAAAATTAGAAGTTTGGATTAGTGATCTCAAAGGGTCAATCCAGCTCTGAATTCTATGATTCCATCTATACTGTGGCATCAAGAGGCCTCCAGTTTCTTATGACTCACAGCACTTACTGGCCTGAGATAAGTCTCAGCTTCTCTCTGATAAACCTTTTCCTTATCTACAAAATGGGGATTAAACAATTTAATTGGGAAAATATTTATTAGATGACTATTATGTTCCAGGGACTGTACCAGAGATGAGGGTTAGAAAGGTAGAAATGAAAGTCTCTACCTTAAAGATATTTACATTCTACTTGGGAGTCAGGGGAAAGAGTACAACATATACGCAGATTAGTAATTGCAAAATAATTTGGGAATTAAAAAAACATTAGTACTTGGAGGGAGTGAAGATCAGAGAAGTTTATAAAAAGACCGCAGCACTCAAGCTGAGAGCCTTGAAGGATTCCAGGGATTCCAGAGGCAGAGATGACATAGGGGACAGCCAAGGAACCAGAGAGGGGAAGAGAATGAGTTCCATTTTGGTAATAATCTCTGCTCACCTTATCCCACAGGACCATTATGAGTATAAAATGAGATAACAGAAGAACAGAATCTCCTTGAGGGCAAGAAATGGTTTTCACTTTATCTTTTTAACTCTAGTGCCTAGCAAGGTGCATTCAATTAATTAATCAACAATCACAGATGAATCATCTACTATGTGCCCCCCAATGGGGACTACAAATGCAAATGATGAAATAAGCCCTATTCTCAAGGAGCTCACATTCTCACAGAGATGATAAGCCAATTAGATGGATGGATGGATAGATGGATGGATGGATGGATGAATGGATAAAAGAAAGAGAGAAGAAGAGAGAGAAGGATGGATGGATGGATGGATAGGTGGGTGGAGAGAGAGACAGATGGATAGATGGAGCCTGGGTAGGTAGAAAGGTAAATGAGATATATAAATAGAGATATAAAGATACACATCTATATATAATTATAGTAATATATTATATATATATATATATATATATATATATACATATATATGTATGTATATATGATATATACATATACAGATGTATATACAACATAAAATGTTATATGGGCATATGTGTCTATTACATATAACAGTATACATACACACACACACACAACACACACACACATATATATATACATTATCTATGTAGATACATTATCTATATAGGTACTTAACATGTGTTCATTGGATTTGTCTGTCAGTCAATGAGTATTTAAAGTCTACTATACGTTAGATACATAGGGAACCTGGGGAAAATGGTAAGCCTGCACTCAGGAAGATCTGAGTTCACATGCTATCTTAGCCACTTATTGGTTACATGGCCTTGCAAAGATCACTTGCCCCTTTCGGCCTCCATTTCTTTATCTGTAAAATGGAGATAATAATAACACTTCAGGATTGTGTTGTTGTTAGTGTTGGTCACTCATGTCCAACTCTTCATGACCCCATTTGGGGTCTTCTTGGCAAAGGTACTTGAGTGGTTTGCCATTTCCTTCTCTAGTTCATGTTACAGATGAGGAAACTGAGGCAAACAGCTAAGTGATTTGCCCAAGGTCACACAGTTAGGAAGTGTCTGAGGCTGGATTTGAACTCATGAATATGAATCTTCTGATTCCAAGCCCAGTGTTCTATCTACTGCTCCATCTAAGATCAAATGAGATAATATTTGTAAAGCACTTTGAAAACCTTAAAGTGCCATATAAATGCTAGCCACTAGTATTATTTATTTATTATTATTAGCTTTGGATAATAGATATGAAAGTCTTGGAAGAAGATCTACTAAAGTAAGTTGTGATTATCATTGCCATCACTCAGGCAGACAGGGAGGACTGGGCATCCTCACAGCTTACAGCCTCCAGGGCATTTACACAGCAGGATCCAGTCTTTAATCCTTTTACACCCGTTAATCCGTTCAGGTGGTGAAAATGCCCATTACCCAATGGTATTTCTTCCTGGCACAGATCCATCTAGAGATTGCCAACTGTATGATATCAAGGGAGCCCCAAGTTTGAGCCTTGCCATGGGCCCTGTAATTTGTAAAGCCCAAACTGGCATTTCTGTAAAATCCACCAGACGGAAATCTCTGGGTTCAAGATGCCATGTGGCAAAGCATATTATGGGACTTCTGAAAATAATGTCTTTCCGATAGGTTTTTAATGCTGAACATATGTACCATTGACTGAATTGGTTGTGTTTACCAGATTTCTAAATCTCACTTCAGCTATCCCAGCTGGTGTCCAATATATTACAAAAATATTTTTCAACTTGATAGGTTTATTTTTAATTCCTTCTGATGCTTTATTTAAGCAAATGGAAAAGGGGAGAAAGAGTGAGTTTGTATTTTTTGGTTCCCAGGCTTCACACTTTACACAAATAAACTAGGATTTTCAAGTCCAAATACTGAGCCTTAGGCTAGGAGTCAAGAAGCTGGATTTCTAATCTTAGCCCTGCCACTAAATCAATGGATGCTTTTGGGCAAGTAACATCTCTTCCTGATATCTCAGTTTCCTCCTCTGTAAAATGAGGATGGTGTCAGGAACTGTGAAATAGTATATCAATATATAGATGCACATACATATATATATATAAAATATTTATAAGCACTCTATAATATTTATATAGCACTTTGTAAACACTATATATATATGTATATATATATATATGTATATATATATATATGCAAAGTATCTTACTATTCTCATTTTACAGATAATGAAAACTGAAGCAGAAGATAAGTGACTTGCCAGGGTCACACAACCAGTAAGTGTCTGAGGCCAAATTTGAACTCAGATCCTCCTAACTCCTGATCAAGCAGTCTATCCACTGCCCCACCCTTGCTGCCAAAATAATCAATTCATGCCTTAGAATTGATAATAGACTATACACATGCCTAGATGGTTAGAAAGCATTTTACATTATCATAACATTCTGTCAGTCAACAAGCATTTATTAAGCACCAACTACATGCCAGGAATATAAAGGAAAAAAAAACACCACTGCTCTCAAGGAGCTTCCAGTCCAATGGGGGAAACAACATGCAAACAATTGTAGACAAAGTATAGGTATGATAAACTGTAGATAATCTCGGAGGGAAAAACACTAGCATTAAAGGGGATGGGGAAAGGTTTCCTGTAGAAGGTGAGAGTTAGCTGAGACTTGGAGGAAGACAGAGGAGGAGGAAGAGAATTCCAGGCATGGGGGACAGCCAGAGAAAATACTTGGAAGCATGAGATGGAGTATCTTGTAGGGGGAACAGCAAGGAGGCTCAAAAATCTATGTGGTAAACAGGATTATGTGGATGAAGATCCTGGCCTCAGAAAAGGAAAGTGACTTGCCCAAGGTCGCTCAGTGATTTAGCATCAAAGTCAGGTCTCCTGCTTCCCAGCCCAAGATTGTGTGTTGAATATAATTTACTTGTCCACATGATAGTATGAATTTGATTTGAGGAGGGTAAAGTGAGTACAGATTAGATTTGTTCTGCTTGGCGCCAAAGGACAGAACCGGTAGTAAAGGATAGAAGCTAGGGAGTGGCAATTTGGAGCTGCATGGAAGGCAAACCTTCTTAACATCAGAGCTGTTCAAAAGTGGAGATCCTCCCATGCCTGGACATCTACAGTGTGCCATAGCTGGTGGTGTTTCTGATCTCGAATTCAGGAAGTCCTGGTTACAAATCTGTCCTCAGACAATGACCGGGTGTGTGATCCCGGACAAAGTCCCTTCCCTTCACTGAATCTGTTTCCCCACCCGGACAATCGGGATAATAATAGCATCTATCGCCGTCGCGTTTTGCAAACCTTGAAGTGATATGTGTGTATATGTATGTATGTGTATACACTCACACTCATATATATATACAACTAAGCTATTTTTACTCAAGTAGAGGTTGAAGGATTGCTTGTATTGGGTGTTTTAGGAGGGATTTTTAACCTTGATCTGATACCTCCTCTCATTCCCCGGGTGACCTTGCCTCAGTTTCCTCCTCTGTAAAATGAGGAGGTAGGTCTCGATGGTTTCTGAGGTTCCTTCCACCTCTAGGTTTAGGATGCTGTAAATCAGTCTTTCTCCTTGGACAGGGAGAAATGCCCGCCTTGGCTGCCTGGGAAAGAACAGACAGACCTCTGCAGCCAAGCTCAACGTCTGCTCCTCTGCTCTCCCCTCCCCCGTCCTCTAATGGACTCCTCCACCCACCCTGCTGCGTAGCCCGCATCGCCCCCGCCCCACTGGCCAATGAGGAAGCCCCAGACGGCGTCCCCGTTGCTTGGAGCAACCCGAGGTGCATTCCGGCAGAAGCCGCGGCCTCTGCAATCAGGCTGCGTGGTTCCCTGAGGGAAGGACGAAGGTTTGGGAGAAGAGAAGTCCCGAACGTCCAACTTCGGGGAAGGGCTTCATCCTTCTGGGTAGCGATCCAAGGGCCTGACTTGTCTATCCAAGTTGGGACTCAGAAAACTCAGTGCCAACTTGTATCAGAATCAGTGATTTTAATTAGCTACCAACCCCCATTCTCTTTTCGTGTTCTAAACTCTTATCTCTAATCTTTCCCCCTCTTTCTCTTTTATTTTTCTTTTTAAATGAGAGAAAAACATCCCTTGAGAAAGCAGAGCAGGAATCATTTATTATTTACCTATGAGACATTAAGACATTTCTAATAACTGTCTTTCAACTTCATTTTTTATTTTGTAAGGACTTAATATATATATACATGTATCATATGTATATATCTACATACAATACATATTTATACACATTTCTCATACTCCCACCCCAGTCACATTGGTTACCAACTGCTTTGGGGTTCAGGAGACTAAACTGAAAGAGAGAGCAAAGAAACTGGGCAATCCCTCAGCCTGCCCCCCAGGACTTTTCCCCAGCCATTGGCTGTCCCCTGTCCCCAGAGGACCTAGGGCTTTGGCTTGATTCTGAAGTGCCAGGAAGAGGGAAGCCTGAAGTAGTATTAAGATGCCAGTCAACAAGAGCTTGGATGTCCCTTCCATCGAGACTCTTAAGCCCTATCAGGGCTCTGGGCAGCTATCTCAGGTAGGTGTCTTCTCTCTTGGCCATATTTTTTTGGGGGAGGGGACACAAAGTGTAATACAAATTAATATTTGAATAGACTAGCCAAGGAGGGTAAGACTGGGAAGGGAGGAAAGAGGAAAGTCATGTTGTAATTAAATTGTAGAGACACATCCCTATAGATATAAATGGTTGGTTTCATCTGAAGAATGAAGGCACCAGCCAGAACAGTGCGCCAGGCCATCATATTAGCCAATGATTCTGAGATGATGGAATGAATCAGCAGTGACACGGTCAAACATCAGAAAAATTAAGATAAATTGTAGGTGTGCCATGGCAGAAATTATTCCCAGAGATCCACCACATAGAGGCAGCCAGAGTACTCAGTTTGGGTATATCTCTGGGTAGGAAAGACAATGACCATCTTTCCCCTTTCCTTAGTGCCTGGGTAAAGAGTGCAGGATTTGGAGGAGGACCTGGATTCATATCCTGGCTCTGCCATTTGTTATCTCTGTGACCTGGGACAAGTCCCCTCAATTCTTTGGGCCTCAGTTTCCTCCTCTGTTAAATGAGGAGGTTAAACTTAGATGAGTTCTAAATCTCTTTCAGCTCTAGATTTTTAATTTCTTTAGATTTGCTGGGATAGGCAGTGGGAAAGAGACATGAAAGGGTCTTGGGCTAGAAATGAACATTATGTTGTAGGGTATGGGCAAGGGAACTCATTCCTCGGGAACAGTTCCCTTTCTTTTGCTTGTATGTGTCTTCCCATTGCTCTGCATGGTGTCTAGCCTATATTAAGGGCTTCATAAATGAATGTTGGCCAACTGCTGCTGATTGACCTGGGGCCCTGATTTAGAACCCACCCTGAAGTTCACATAAACCTTTGACTTAGGGCTGCTCTCTCATGGCTGTAGAGACTGATTCACTCGCCCCCTCACTCCCATGTAGTGTTTTATTTAACTGTATTTTAAATAAGAGGCAGAAAATTCATCAGAGTTTCATCTTATGACAGCAAACCCCACTAAAGTCTGATTCCAATATGGAGGAGACCTTGGTTCCCAAGTGGAGATGATGCTCGTGACAGTTCCAATCAGCAGAGATTTGGCAGTCAAGCTCCTTCATAATGAGAGGATAATAGGATCGTAGATTTTACAGATAAAGAAACTGAGGCCCAAGGAGATTAAATTACTTTCCTGAGGTCACTCAGGCAATAAATGTCAAAGCCAGGATTAGAACTCACAGTCTCTTATTCCAGATCTATCACTGTTTCCACTGTAAGGTTCATCAACAGTTTGGCCACACACTGTGATGACATTTTTGACCACAACAGATCTCAGACACAAAGTAAAAGAGGTATGGCTATACAGCAAGTCTTGTGAAAAAGATCTGGGCATTTTAGTGGACTGCAAGCTCCAATGGGAGTCAACAGTATGATACAGCTTTAGGCCTCATTAAAAGGAGTTAATTAAGTGAATTTAAAGTGAATTAAAAAGCTAGTGAGGTGATAGCTTCTCTTTGTCCTCTGCCCTGATCAGGCCACATCTAGAATGCCATGTCCAGTTACGGGTGCCACATTTTGGCAGGATATTATTACGTTGAAGAAGGCCCAGAGGAGGGCAACACAAGTGGTGAATTTGATAGTTGTCTTCAAGTATCCAAAGAACTGTATGAGCCTGGATTCGACTTGTTCTGTTTGGCTGTAAATGAGAATATAAGTATGAAGAGTGGGCACAAGTTACAAAAGGGTAGGTCGATCTAAGGAAAATTGAATAATTACAGTTGTCCAAAAATAGATTAGAATGGAGGTTAAGGAATTACTGCAGGGCTTCAAGCCAAAGCTACATGACCTCACAAAAGGTATGTCATAAAGGGGCTTCTTGCTCAGCTACTGATTGGATGACTCAGGTGCTGAGGTCCTTTCCAGCTCTGTGATCCGATGATATCAAAGACTATCTCCTAAGGCATGATGGGAGACAGAGGGTGCTACAACACCATCCATTCCAAGGGAATCTGAGATCTTTGAAGGGTAGAAGCATGGATAACATTGATGATATTTGGACAGGGGAAGAAAAACACATTACCTGAGTATACAGGGATTATAGGCTCAAATCTAGAGCTACAAAGGACCTCAGAGGCTGAGGGACTTCTTTTATATTTTTCATAGAAGGGCTTTCTGATGATTAACATATATCATTGGTCAAGACCTTTGAAAAGGTTCATGGTAGATCTGATTGAACAGAAATGTTTGGATTTGAATTGGATAGCATGGCATCATTATCCTGTTAAGATGATAGGGGTGTGTGTGGGTGTGTGTGTGGATGTGTGTGTGAAAGAGAGTGAGAGAGAGAAATGTGCATATATGCACACCTCCATGTCTGTGTTTCATTCTTCCACCTCTTGCTGACTCATTTAGGAATCAAGGCAATTCTTCCCAATTTGCCAGAGCCCCTTGTCTTGTCTTATTATAATGCTAGAGGAAAGCAGACTTAAAGGTAGCTGGATACTCCCAGCCTTACAAATTGGAAGTAAGTGCACCAGGAAGATTTTTAAAACTCACTGGCCCTTTATTTTGTAGTCATAAGTGTCCCTTTATTTCTTCTGAGCATTAATGTGGGCTTTTGCTCACCTCATTGCCCAGTCCAGCAAACAAGAGCATGTTGGGATATTTTGTGTATTAACCCCCACTCATTCTTCCCTAAGCATTTCACAGATGTTCTAGGCACTTTTTTCACCTTTGGGATGGAAAGCAAAGCTTCCCAGCCCAATAAATAGGACAAAGGAGAAATCCCTTTTTATTGGGAAGGCCTCAATGACTATCATGTCTACCCAACTGGAACCCAGTGGCAGAAGGCTTAGCTCCATCAATCAATGAGTATTTATTAACTACCTACTATGCGCCAGGCAATATGCTAGATTGGAAATAGTAGATTCTTATTTGTTGGATTGGATTAATGACATAATAAAGACCAGGGAATGGAAAGAGACAATCTTTAAAGGATAACCCACTTGGAGTGTGTTTGGGCATGTCAGATTTAATGCTATCTAGAGCCAGAACTAGGAATATGTAAGGTAGAAAGCATCTTAGAGTACAGCACATGGTAATGAAAGAAATGTTTTCATATGACTTTGTTATAAATGCATATAACTTCTAAAATTTTATTGCTATCTTTAATTTTTTATGTCATGCATTTTCTAATGTATCTCAATCTCCCACTCCCAGAAAGCAAACCCCTATAACAATGAAATATATATATATATATATATATATATTTACATAAATGTAAGTATGTATATATGTATATGTGTGTATCTATACACAGACATTTATATGTATATGTGTGTATATGTACACACATACATACCAATATAAAAGCAGGAAAAAAAATTCAATGAAACTGACACACCGATCAAATCTGTCCAGGCATAGTGGTTTCCCAGCGGCTAAGGAGTCTGAGGCTGGTGGAATTCTCATATTTGGGGCCACCTTGTGCCCTGAGATGGAAGGGAGAGGATAGGAGAGGAGCAAACCAGCCCAGGTTGAAAATAAAGTAGGTCGAAAGCTCCCCTGACAGTTAGTAGGAGGATTGGGCTGTGGGTAAGCTCCTGCATTTCCAGCCTGGGTAATACCCAATTAAAAAACTTTTTTTTGATATATGTATTGAGTTCCACTCTCATTCCCCCACCCTTCTATAAAGATAGGAGGAGGGCAGTGTTTTTTCATATATCTTCTTTGGAACCTCAGTTGACCATTTTAACCCCACAGCATTTGGTTTCTGCTGTTTTGTTATGATTGTTCTTTCCTTTTACATTGTTGTAATTGTTGTATATAATGGTTTCCTGGTACATAATGGTATATATGGTTCTATTTATTTAATGGTATATAATGGTCTATTTATTTCATTCTGCATCAGTTCCTAGAACTCTTTCCATGTTCTGTATTTATCCCATGTGATGTTTCTTACAGGGAAGTTATGTTTCATTACATTTGTGTACCCTAGCTTATTTAGTCATTCCCCAATCTATGGGTATCTATTTTGCTTCCAGGTCTTTGCTAAAACAAAAAGTGTCACCATAAATATTTTTATGCATTTGGGAGTTTTTTATAATTGACCTCCTGGAGGTGTATACCAAGAAGTAGTATTCTTGCAGTAAAAAGTCTGTACATTTTAATCACTTTCTTAGCATAATTTCTAATTACTTTTCACAAATGGTTGGATCAATCCATAGTTCCATCAACAATACATATGTGTGCCAATCTTTCCACAATCCCTCCAACAATGAATATCCCTGTTTCCAATTTAAATTATATAATTTTAATCTCACAAAATGCATATCTTTGAATACTTAGTATGCCTGGGTTTGAAAGATATGAAAGATAGCTCACTTGTCTTCTTGTCCCCACTGCTTGGCCCAAGGTTGACAAACATTCCATATAATCAGCTCTTAATAAATTAGTTGATTGATTGAAGAGAACACGTAGATACTTTGAATGAATTGAAGTTACCTCTTACCTAAATGGAAAATATATTGAGTTGTTGTTCAGTCATTTTTCAGTCATGTCCAATTCTTTGTGACACCATTTGGGGTTGTTTTGGCAGAGATGCTGGACTGGTTTGCCATTTCCTTCTCCAGCTCATTTTACAGAAACAAACAAACTGGCAGGTGTGAATGTTCACCTGAAAAATCATGGAGAATGGAAGAAATACCGTAGGGATAGAGAAGGGCAAACGTTGTTACAATTTTTCAAAAAAGAAAAGGATAAAGTATGAATTGTCAAGCCACTGAGTTTGACTTAGATTCCTGGCAAAAATCTAGAATGGCTGGTTAAAGGCGTATTTAATTGCTTGTTGATTAATTGATTATCAAAGACTTGGAAAAGGAAGAGGTATTCGCAGAGAGCCAGCATGGTTTTAAGAAAGTTTAGATCATGCCAGACTAGCCTCACTTCCTTTTAACAAGGTTGCTTAACAGGTAGATATTGGGGCGGGGAGAGGTTAGAGCAGAAGACTCTAGTCTCACCACAA